CTCCGGGGGCCCGCCCGCCCGCCGGCCCGGCGGCAGCGTTAGTGCAGCGGCGCCCGCAGGCCCCTCCGGCGGCCCGGCACTCACCCTCCGGCGTGATCTTCTTCGGCGGCGCGGGCGGCGGCTGCAGCGGCCCCAGCGTGGCCACGCGGAAGGCGGCCGGGAGCGTCTCGGCCGAGGCGCCGAGCAGGCCGCCGTGCGGATCCCGCGGCCGGAAGCGCTTCCTCCAGGACGGCGCGCGCCGGAACACCTTGTCCTCGCCCTGCATGGGACACGCGGAGGCCCTCACTCCCTGCCCGCGGGAAGCGCGCTCGCGGCTGCTTCTAGGGGTGCCACTAGAAGCCACTAGGTCCCACTGGAAGGCGGGGTACGGAGGGGGGGCAAGGTCACCTCCTCTGTCTGGCCCTGTTTTTCCGTCGGTAAAATGAATGGGGGCGAAGTAGAGGACTCCCAGGGGCCCCGGGGGATTCAGATTCCTTGTCGCCAGGTAGGGTGGGGTCCCCTCTGGTCAGACCTGGCACCATCCTGCAGTTGAACCGTTTCCCTGCCCAGCCCCGTCATCTCACACTGAGCTGGGGATGCCCACTGACCTTTCACGTTCTCCTAGCCTCGTCCCGGGGGCACCGAGCAGCCCCCATCCAACCCCTCCTGCCTTCCCTCTGGCTGCAGCCCAGGGTGTGCCGGAAACGCACCAGGCCAAGCGTCAGGAGACCTGACTACCATTTTACTAGTTATGTGTCCCTGGGCAAGTTAAGTGACCTCTCTGAGCTTCCATTTCTGTGTCCATAAAATAGGAAGAACATCATCTGCCCTCTTTCTCAGACTGCCTATCCCTAATGGGATCAAGTGAGAGCATTCTGTGACAGCGATGGGTCAGGTGGATGGCAGATCAGAGGCAGGCTCCCCCAAAGGAGGTGGTGGGCCATCTGTCAGCGGAGTCTCCAGACTATCTCTGCCAAAGGGCACCCAGAGCCAAAACTCTACAGGATGCCCCTCTGCACAGGCCTCCCCATCCTCCCCGGAAGAGCTCACTTCCACCCTGCTTGGCAGCCATGTCTAATCTCCCCAGCACCACCCCCCCCCCCCCCCCTCCACCCCGACCAAGCCAATCGGTGTTCTCAGAATGGGTATAGGCAGAGAGCTGCTGGAGGAACAAGAGACATTAACCCACCAGTTCTTGCCTCAACCCCTCCCGGCCCCAAGCCCCTTGTTGCTTGTGCTCTGAGGAGGCCAAACCCTATCACTTCTTGGCACAATGTACTTCTATCCCAGCACCCACGCTGGTATCAGTTTTTCGTGTACTTATGGGATTACAGTAAAACCTTGGATTGAGAGTAACTTGTTCTGCGAGTGTTCTGCAGGATGAGCAAACGTTTGTAATAAATTTTAACTTGATAAACGAGCGATGTCTTGTGATATAGTTCGTGACACTGAAGGTCACATGATCACAACCGAGCCAATGGTTCTTGAAATTTGCTTTGGTATACAAGTGCTTTGGATTACAAGCATGTTTCCAGAACAAATTCTGCCTCAAAACCAAGGTTTTACTGTATTTCATTAACCACCCCCCTCTCTCTCTCCTTCTTCCACTCCCCTCCCTCAACTCTCTCCCTCTCACTTTCAAATTCTGTCCTCCATGGGACAGACACCATCATCTTTTTAGTTCCAACCAATGTATCCCCAGCCCCAGAGTAGTGCTCAGGAACACTGTAGGCACTCAATAAATATTTGTTAAATGAATGGATGGCAGCTGGCTTCCTATGTAGGCATCCTATCCCTGAATTCATCAGGAACTTTCCTCATTATTTCTGTCTGGTCCATGATCCTACCCTTAATCTAGCCCAGGATGGTTTCCCTTTCTCTCTCTCTTTCTCTCTCTCGATTTCTACCTTCAGCCAGCGCTAAGACTTGTTTCTGTATCACTTGTCCCCTAGAAGATGTTCTTCCTGTTCCTCTCCTCTTTTCCTTAAGTCCTGCTCTCCATGTAGGGGGAGACTTGGATGCAGCCCTCCAGGGCCTTGAAGCTTGAGAGGGGAAACTGAGAACCAGAACTGACAGAGGAAACAAGAGACAGCTCAAGGTTGCTGATGCTGTGCTAGATGCCTAGACAGAAAACAGTCTCCCTGGATCTCTGACCTCCCCTGTGCCCACCACCACCAAATCCCACCTCAAGCTTAATTCCTCATCAGTCAGAGGGGGATGATAACCTGCCCCACATGATGATTGTTAGCATAAAATGAGTTGTCTGTCACCAGTATATCCCTATGCCTGGGCCAATGCCTGGCCCAGAGGAGGCCTTCAAAGAATATTTTTATAAGGATTGAAGGAATACACAGCTTTCTAATTAGGAAGCACCGCACTAAGATATATAGGAATCATTTTTCTAAACAGCATCAAAGAAAGCTAAGATCCTCGGCAGGTGGGGAATAAAAGAAGGGTCCACATGGCAGGGGCATTGGAAAAATTAAGATCTCTGAGGGTGGGGACAGCTGGTGGGGTCTGGCAATTTATCTCCTTGACAGGAATACATACACACGTACACACACATATGTGTACGTGTGTGTGTGATTATATATGTGTGTGTGTGTGTGTGTGTGTGTGTGTGTGTGTATAAATAACACACTCCATATTTCAAGGCACCTCCGTGAAGAACACACCCCTCCACAAATTCCGTGTATGCCTGAGCGTGTCCTATCTACCGAAGCAGAGCCGTCATTCCACAAAGGAATTTTAGCCCTGGCCAACCCAACTAAGAAAGACTAATTGATAAGGAGGTGACACTAAGGGTGTCCCAAAAAAGGAGGTCCACTAGTCCAAACAGAGGCATTGGTCGGGGAGGGGATGTGTAGGAAGGGAAGCTACACAGACAACGGAGATCAGAAGAACTAGATTTGATTGAAGATGGAGAAGCTAAAAATAAATAATCTGGGCTCCTTTTTAACTTGTTTGGAGCCAGGGCAGCCAAGCCTCACCTGACAGGCAACAGCAGGGAAGGTTGGTGATCAAAAGTAAGTAGGGAAGAAGGCGGGAAGGGGGAAGGGGGAAGAAGAGAGGAGGGCTGAGGAGGGGGCTGCACCCTCAGGAAACAGGTAACCCTTTGGTAGGCATCTCCAATGGGGGCATTAGAGCTCAGGACATGCAGGTCTTCCTGGACACAGTCCAGCCTAAACGCAAGGGAAAGGCCTGACAAAACCCAGGGGAAAAGGCTGTGTTTTCATCGAACATGGGGGCCAAGAAAAGAGAACCTTAACTTGATATGAAGGTAACTCAAGAGTAAAACTGGAGAGGAAGCAGTGATGATATACGTCTGAGCCAGTGTGTCAAACTGCCCTGTGGAACAAGCGAGCAAGCCTGTCGTTTAAGGACCTCGGCATAACGCCTGCCTCCAAACAACCACACTATGACAGGATGGGAATCCTAATAAGCAGGCTGGAATCATGCTCTGCCAATAGCACTGAGAGATGGTATCTGAGAAATGGAAGAAAAAGGTATGATCCCAAGGAGATGGCCTTTGGGGGAACCTCTGATCCTGTGTGGTTAGGACAGCGGCAGGGCAGAGTTGGAAGATGCTAGAAGTATAACATATAGGAGCCTTTAGTTTTTGTACAAGGAGTTTCGTGGAGACTTCTCCAGGCCTACTGCTAGGCCTCGCTCTTTTGCCCCCCTCCCCCAATTCCCTGACATCATCGCCATCCCCTCTGGCTCTTCTCCCTTTGACCACCCCACCAATTATCGGCCCAAGGAAAGCACAACTCATGAACTCCAACCCAACCAACCAACAATGGCCAAATCCCAAAGGCCCCTGATTCACAGCCAAGTACTCACATCATCCAGTTTCCGGTCTGTGCCCAAGGCCAACAGGTTGTTGAACTCTCTTTCCATCACCTGGCGAGCCTGGAGTCCACAGGGTGAAAGAGGAAGAGGTGGGAGGGGTATAGTCAATGACTTCTTTGTCATCTTGCTTCTGTTTCATAGGGGCCCATAGACAGAGATAGGGCTTTCAGTGCATTTAACCCGTGAGCCCTGATGCTGTTTCAAGCAAACGTCAGGGTCCTCTTGGAAGTGAAACTGTAAACCTTAGGATTGTTTCATATGGAGCACATTAGAAAACTGTAATTTTGTACAAAGTAGGACCACAGAACACATGGATCACAGGGTTCCCTTAAGTGGGGTGAGGGGGAACCCCATATTGTGTCTGTAAAGGAAAATCAGGCCTTACTACCTTTCTGAAGGGATAAATGAGCATGTAGACCATGGATAATAAGGATTTAATTTAGATTAAAGAAACGTATTTCATAAGGCTCCACATCAAAACTTTAAATTAGGAGGACGGCTGAGTCACAGATCTCCATGGCCCTTGGGCTGACGGTGCATACAGGCCTTGACTAAGCCTCCCAGGAGCCTAACTCAGCAGGAGATTTGGGAAACACCAGAAACAACAACGTTTTCAGAACTGCCACCAGATATTTTTAACCATTGTTGAGGAAGAATTCCATGTTGGGTCAGCCCCCACTTCCTCTCATAGCTGAGCTAAATGGAAGAGTCAGGAAAACCAGAAAGGTTAGCACGCACCAGAGATGTCTCCGGCCGCTCTTTACAAATGCATTGCGAGCCACAAAACCCGGACACATTTAGAGACAGGAGACAAACAAACGATAGAGAAGAGCAAGGCCATTTCCGGGTGAGAAATGCTAACCACGGAGGTTCATAAGGACTGTCTCTGTCAGTATTGAGAAGGTAATATTCTCATAAGTGACAGCAAAGGAGAAGCCTAATACACTTCCAAGTATCCAGACGACACCGCTCCTCTGGGTAAGGAAAGGTGACGATGACACTTACAAACTTCAGAAACCTGTCCCAGAGCTGTGAGAGCAGGTGAGAACGCAGATGAGGTTGGAGGTGGGCACGTACAGAAAAACTGTGTAGGGGGGTAGGGGAATCCCAGCTCTTCTTAGAGAACAGGGATCTGTCCTCTCCGTTCTGACCGGTCGGTGGCGGGGGGGGGGGGGGGGGGGGGGGGG